GCCCCCTGGACGCCGTCCCCGCCACCCGCGGGCCGCACCGGCTGCTCGTGGCTGAGGTCTTCCGCCCCTGAGTGCTCGCCCTCTCTCCGCCCCCGCGGTCGCCCCGTCCTTCTTCCTCGCCCCATGCCGGCCGACTCGCGTTTTGCAGCGCCCCTGCATCGCTGCCGCGCTGGAGCGGCTTGCCCTGCCCCGCCGCCGACGGCAAAGAACAGTGTGTGTGTGTGTGTGTGTGTGTGCGTGTGTGTGTGTGTGTGTGTGTGTGTGTGTGTGTGTGTGTGTGTGTGTGTGTGTGTGTGTGTGTGTGTGTGTGTGTGTGCGTGCGTGTGTGCGTGTGTGCGTGTGTGCGTGTGTGTGTGCGTGTGTGTGTGTGTGTGCGTGTGTGTGTGTGTGCGTGGGTGTGTGTGTGTGTGTGTGTGTGTGTGTGTGTGCGTGTGTGTGTGTGTGTGTGTGTGTGTGTGCGCGCGCGCGCGCGTATTTTGGAGGGCTCTTGGATGAGGAGTAGGAGTAGGAGTAGGAGTAGGAGTAGGAGTAGGAGGATGAGGAGTAGGAGTAGGAGTAGGAGTAGGAGTAGGAGTAGGAGGAGGAGCTTCTCCTTCTTCACTCCTCTTGGCGGAAATTGTCAAGAGTGGGACCTCCCTCTTCCGAGGCCAACGCCTCGTGCGTGCGCAGGCACACGGCGCCCGCCGCATGCCGCGGCTTTTGCGTGGGCCGTCAGCGTGGCACGCCGCGCGGAGAGAAGATGGCGCCCACGTGCGACCTTACGCAGAAAAGACCCTCTCCCGCGGACGTCCCCGCAGTCGACGCTTTTCCTCCGTCGCTCAAACGGCGACGCAATCGATACAGTCGGGGCGTTGACCTAAGGAACCCTAAATAAGGAACGAGGCCCCTTTCTCCCATAAATTAAACTTCGATTTCCCACCGGAAACATAAGGAAAACCTGAGGCAAGCTGTGAAACGATCACGGGACACCGAGCCCCTCCCCAACGAAAAGGGTTCCTTCTTCAGCGCCCCGACTGTAGCGCCGGCGCCAGATTTTTTCCCCAGGAGCACAGCGGAGGGCGTGGGCCAACCAGTGCCAAGAGACTGCGAAGACGAGGGCACAGCACACGCAACCATTTTCCCCCGCCGGCCAGGAGACGTCACCGTAGCGACAGCTGGGATGGGCCGCAGATTACCGTGGAGTCCGCCTGGCTTCGTGAGTGGGTGGCTGCGCTAGGCGAGCGAGCGTACACATAACACACAACAGGTCACAGAATCTTGCATCTCCTCCCCCTTCCGACCCCCCCTCCATGGCGTGTCGGCGGCCGCTGCGGGGCGCCTTGGGGTGACGGATCGCTCCTGGCGCGGGGCACTGGGGGAGAGGGGGGGGGAAGATGACGAGAAGGGGTGCAGGAAGGGGGTGAGGGGAAATTGTTGTGGGTCGGGCTGAACCCAATCGGATGCATTAAACAACCTCGGCGTTCGACGCGGCCGTGTCCGCTTCCACATCGTGCCCGCCCCGCCTGGGCGTCTGGCCGACTTGCCTCGTTGCGCTCGAGGTCCTCGCGCCGCACACCGCATGCAGCGAGGACCACGTCCTGACAGGCGTGGCCCGACCCTGGAGCAGACTGTGGGGCAGGACGCCCCGCCCCGCAGTGAGACTGAGACAGCTCCGCGACGGTAGGCATTGCCTGACCCAACGCCTCCCTGTCCTCGGCAGCTAACGGCCCAGGGGGGGGAGGGGGGGGAAAGAGGGAAGGGGGGGAGAAGGGGAGGCAGGATGGGAGGAGAGGAGGGGGGAAAGGGAGGATCAGTGGCGACAATTTTGCAGATCGCAGCCCCCGAGGGGCGGCAAAGTCTGGATCTGCTACTCGTATGGCACCTTTCCACTGGCCCTCCCATGAGCCCACGAAAGGGGCGCACGGTTTCGCAGATCGCAGGCCCCCAAGGGCAGCGAGGCCTCGACCTGATCTGCGTAAGACGTCACTGCGCTGGGCCTCCCAGGAGCTCTCGAAAGTGGCGACGGTTCTGCAGACACAAGCCCCTCCCCCCAACGACGGCGAGGCCTCGATCTGGCCTGCGTAAGACGTCGCTGCGCTGGCCCTCCCAGGACAGCCTCCCCAGGGAGGGCGAGGCCTCGACCTGGTCTACGCATAAGACGTCACTGCGCTGGGACCACCGGGCAGCCCACGAGAGTGCCCACCGTCTCGCAGATCGCAGGCCCCCAAGGAACGGCGAAGTCTCGACCCGGTCGGCGCAAGACGTCGCTGCGCTTGCCCTCCCAGGAGCTCGCGAAAGTGGCGACGGCTTTGCAGATCGCAGCCTCCAAGCTTAGGCGAGGTCTCGATCTGGTCTGCGTAAGACGTCACTGCGCTAAGTCCTCCCAAGAGCTCACGAGCATGGCTGCAGTTTTTTAGATCGCAGCCCCCAAGGGACGGCGAGGTCTCGATCTGGTCTGCGTAGGGCGTCACTGCGCTAGGCCTTCCAAGAACTCGCGCAAGTGGCGACGGTTCCGCAGATCGCAGCCCCCAAGGGACGGCAAAGTCTCGATCTGGCCTGCGCAAGACGTCACTGCGCTGGACCTCGCAAGAGTTCGGGGAAGTGGCGACCGCTTTACAGATCGCAATCCTCCAAGGACGGCGAGGTCTCGGTCTGGTCTGCGTAATACGTCACTCCGCTGGGCCTCCCTTAAGCCCACGATGTGGCGACGGTTTCGCCGACCGCAGCCCCCAAGGACGGCGAGGTCTTGATCTGGTCTGCGGAATACGTCACTGCGCTGGGCCTCCGGGGAGCTCTCGAAAGTTCGACGGTTAGGAAGATCGCAGCCCCCCAGGGACAGCGAGGTCTCGATCTGGTCTGCATAAAGACGTCACTGCGCTGGGCCTCCCAGGGGCCCATGAATGTGGCGACGGTTTCGCAGATCGCCCCCCCCCCTCCCCACCCCCCCCAGGGACGGCAAGACCCTCGACCTGGTCTGCGTATGTCGTCACTGCGCTGGGCGAATCAGAGGAGGAGGCGGAGGAGGACGAGGTGCAGGAGAGAGGGCCGGACTGGGAGACCACCGTGCTCCATCCAAAACGAGAACCCAACCGCAGGAGGGTAGGGACACAAGAGGCAGGGAAGAGGAGTACCAGGAGGAGGAGGAGGAGGAGGAGGAGGAGGAGGAGGAGGAGGAGGTGGAGGAGGAGGAGGAGGAGGAGGAGGAGGAGGAGGAGGAATGAGAGACGTGAGGAGGGCAGGAGACCATGCATGCTACAGAGACCAGCAGGATTTTTAGGAGGACGAGGACGAGGGAGATGAGGAGCCCTGACGTCGGACGTCGCAAACATTGCGACATAGTGGGGGTGGAGCGAGGATGGCAGCCTGTCGGGAATGCACGAAGGCCTCCAGAAGGAGGCCAGCGCCTTCTCGAGAGGTCGCCCCGCCCCCCCGCCCCCTTCCCCCCCCCCTCGGCACGACAACGACGACGACGACGTCGTCGACGCCGACGCCGACGCCGACGCCGACGCCACCGACGACGCCGCCGCCGACGTTCACGACGCCGACGCCGGCGCCGGCGCCGACGACGACGACGACGATCTCTATCGCACAGCGAAGGGCCAGAAATTGAGCAGGGACCGAGCGTCCGGGCATTCCTATCGTCCTACCACGACATTTTCTTGGAACCCACACATGTTCTCATAACCAGAAATACTGTTCTCAGAACCCAAGCCCGAGGTGTTGAAACAAGCCAGTCTCAGCCAGGACCGCTCCAAGAACATCTCGTGCAAGCCACAGAAAGTTCTCAGAACATCTTTTTGGAATCCTGAAACGGTGCGGTGACAGACCGTGCGGTGACCTCGAAATCCTGCAAGAACTCACCGCACGGCCCGACACTGCACGGTCTTGGGACCCCAGAGGCCCCTGTCGCCCGAGACGTCCTCGGAGAGAGCCTCGAGTCCCAAAATCGTGCGGTGACCCCGAATCCCCACCGACTCACCGCACGGTATGGTCACCGCCCCGTTTGGGGGCCCCCGAATCTTGTGGTGGGCCTAGAGGCGAGCCGGGACGCTCCGCAACTACTTGGAGAGGGGAGGGCCCCGAAGGAGCACGGGGAGAGGAGGCAGCGCGGCCGCATGCCGAGGCGCCATCCCGCGGGGGCCGAGCCGAGCGAGTGCGCGGGCTCCTCGACCGAGGGGGAAGAAGGGGGGGGGGAGGAGGAGGAGGAGGAGAAGGAGGAGGAGGAGGAGGAGGAGGAGGAGGAGGAGGAGGAGGAGGAGGAGGAGGAGGAGGAGGAGGACGAGGACGAGGAGAGGAGGAGGAGGAGGAGGAGGAGGAGGAGGAGGAGGAGGAGGAGGAGGAGGAGGAGGAGGAGGAGGAGGAGAGGGAGGAGGAGGAGGAGGAGGAGGAGGAGGAGGAGGAGGAGGAGGAGGAGGAGGAGGAGGAGGAGGAGGAGGAGGAGGGGGGAGGGGAGAGGGGCGCGGGCGCGGCAGGGGAGGTGGGGCGGAAGGAGAGGGCGGATGCTCTTTCTTTGTTGCTGACGTCCACGACGCCGCCTCCGGACCCCGACGGTGCAGGGCAGCCAGCCATCAGCGGAGGGAGGTGCAGGCTGCAGAGGGCGGGTGGGGGGACAGGGCGTGGGGGTGGAGGATCTGAGCTCGAGCTCGAACCTCGAACTCGAACCTCGAACTCGAACCTCGAACCTCGAACTTCGAACCCCGAACTCGAGCCTCGAACTTCGAACCTCAGACAGGGCGTGGGGGTGGAGGATCTGAGCTCGAGCTCGAACCTCGAGCTCGACCTTCGAGCTCGAACTTCCCCCCACCTATCGGCGGTGGACAAACCTCCCTTTAGTAACCCTCCCCTTAGTGAAAACGGCCTGGGACCGAAACCGACGGACCCGGACCCGCAAACATGACGGCCGCGGCGCCATCTCGGGAACCGAGAACGGCCAATTCGCTAATCGACGTGTCAGGGTAGGAGGTCTGTCCACCCCCGAACCTAGAACCTCGAGCTTCCCCCCCCCCCCAAGCCTCGCCCACCCTGCGGGCAGGCAGCGCTTCCTTCTCCCAGCAGCCCTCGTGGGTGACGGGGTTGCGGCCGTGGTGCTCGCGAGAGACGGACCTCGCCAGCAGGGGCGGGGGCCGGATGGGCAGCGAGAAGCTCTGCCCCCTCCTCCTCCTGTTCCTCCTCGTCCTTCCCCTGGTCTTCCTGCTCCTCCCACTCCAATTCCTGCTGCTGCTGCTGCTGTTCGTCCTCGCCGTCATCCTTCCTCATCCTCCGCTTTCTCCTCCTTCTCGTCCTCCTCTGCTCAGCCGCCACCTCCTCCCTGTCCTCCTCCTCCTCCTCCTCCTCTTTCTCCTTTTCCTGCTCCTGCTCCTCCTATGTACGCAACTTTCCTCTTCCGATGGCGCATAATACGATGGGAGTGTACAAGAGTCCCATGCCGTCTATGACTCGCGTCCACGGGTAGAGGAATCAGCAAGACATCATGGCTCGAGCGAGCCCAGCTTGTCCTCCTCCTCCTCCTCCTCCTCCTCCTCCTCCCTCCTCTCTCCTCTCTCCTCTCTCCTCCTCTTCCTCCTCCTCATCCCTGGAACACATCCTCTCGTCCCTATCCCTTCTTCCCATCCCCTCTTCCCATCTTCTCCTTCATCTCCTCCTTCTTCCCTCGTCCCATCTCCATCTCGGTCTCCTCCTCCTCCTCCTCCTCCTCTTCCTCGTCCTCTTCTTCTTCTTCTTCCTCCTCCTCCTCCTCCTCCTCCTCCTCTTCGTCCTCCTCCTCCTCCTCCCCCCCTTTGTTCTCGTGCTGCTCCTCCTGTTGCTCCTCCTCCTCCTCCTCCTCCTCCTCCTTCCTCTTCTCTTCGTCCACATCCTCACATCCTCCCACCTCTCTGCTGCTCCTGCTGGTCCTCGTGCTTCCCCTAATCAATTTACCCTCCTTCTACCGTCTCACTCCTCCCCTCGCCCTCCGTACTCCTGTCTTTTCCCTCCTACTTCCTGCTCTTCGTCCACCCCTTTCCTTCTACTTCCGACGGACGACGAAAAAGCAGGCAAGAGGAATGAGGAACGAGGAGGACGAGGAGGCCCGGGAATCCAATGGGCGGCAACCCGAACGTCTTAAGCTCATGGTTTAAACCCGGAAATCCGGAGTTCTGGGGTCCTGCGCTCCCGCCACCGGGTGCGACCGCTTCCCCTTCTTATCGTCATCGTACTCCTCTTCCTCTTCCTCCTTTTTTCCTCCGTCATATCCCTGCATCCTCCTTCTCTTCCTCCTCCTCTTCCTCCTCCTCGGCTTCTTCTTCTTCCTCCTCCTGCTCCCCTTCTCTTCTTCCTCCCTCCTGCCAGCGCCGAAGCGCGTCGATGCCTCGCGTGCCCCCGCGCGGACGCTGACCTCGTCCACGCCCGTCCCGACCGAATAACGCAACGCGACGGCCTGGCAGTCGACCTCGAACAAACGCCGCCAAGCTGCCCCGCTTAGTTGGCCGACTCCGCCGGCCGGCCGGCCCGCCGCTTCCTCTCCGGCGCCGCCGCCCGCGGCGGGCCCGTCCCCGAGCCCCGCCCGTTCGCGCGCCGGCTGGCGCAAGCGTCGGAGCGCCAGCTGGCAGCGGCGGCCGCCCATGTCGAGCGCCAGACGCAACGGCGGCGAAGGCGCACGGCGCGCTGGGTGCCAGCGACGTTGGTCCGCCTCGGCGTCGGCTTTTGCGGCGCGTCTCCGAGGGCGCTGTAGCGGACTGTGACGTCCGCGCGCAACCTGTGGAGATTCCCGCGTTGCGCCTCCAGGTCTAGGACGGCTTCGTCCCGCTTCACCTGGAGCGCCGCCCCGCGCTCGCCGCAAGGCCCAGGCGGGGGCGCGTCGGCCGTTCCATGGGCCGCGCGGGCTGGGTCGGTGCACCGCCGGCGCCATCTGTCCCGCGCGGGAACAGGGCCTGCCGGGCGGTGCGGAAGCCGCGTTGTTGGTGGATGCGCCCCCGCGCGTCCTCGACATCCCTGCTCAGTGCCCTGGGGCCACCTCGGCAACGGCAGCGGTGGGTGTGGCGCGCCTTGCTGGAGAGCGCCTGCCCAAAGAGTTGCCCCGCCCTCGGGCCCACTCTTCAGGCGGTTGCAGAACCTGCCCCTGGCCAGTGCCGCGCCGTGGTCACAAGGCGCGCGCGTCGTGGTGCAATGGTCGGGGTTGTCCAGCTTCTGACGCGGCACGCCGCCGGCAAGTCGCCGGCCCGCCGCGTGGGGCCCCTCGACGGAGCGCAGGAGTGCTCGCTCTTCTGCTCCTGGGGTGCTCAACAAGGCTTGGTTGTTGTTCTTGTTGAGGCTCTGCGCGAGCGCCTTTTGGGGCTTCTGTCGAGGGCCCCGCGCGATCAGCCCCCAGGGCGGCAGCAATCGGCGCCTCTCCTCCTCGTCGGGCGCCCGGGTGGTTTCTAAGTCGGCCAGCTCTACCAAGCCTGTCCGCGCGCAGGCCTCCGCCGCGCTCTTCGCCCGGCCCAGGCAGCGGGCGCCGGCGCGGCCTGGCTCCGCGCACCCCGGTCGCCTAGTCGTGGCAGCAGGCGGCGCCGGGTCTGATGCTTGGTCTGCAGGGGGTCCAGGCTCGCGAGCTCCTCGTTAGCCTCGAGCATGCACCGCCGCGGCGGGCAGCTGGGAGAGCTTCAGGGGCAGCGGCGCCGCCCTGTCAGCGGTCTCAGCGCGGCGAGCTGCCGCGTGGCCCGCGCGGCCCAGGTCCGGCCGGCGCCCGTCGCTCTCGCCCGGCATGTTGCCTGGCGGCAGCGGCTCGCCCAGCGGGGCGCCGAGCCCCTGCGGGCGCGCGGCCCGTGCAGACCGCATCTGCGTCTTCTGCGGCTGTAGCTCGAGTCCAAAGTCGCCGATGTGTAGCCTGCGCCGTTGTCTCGACCGCGCTGGCGAACTCCGCGGGCGTCAGCGCGATGACGTTGTCGAGGTAGGCCAGGGCGTGGGCGTCTGCGGCGCGCAGCCCCAGCGCGACCGCCGCCCCCCGCGGCGCCTCCTCATTCTCCCGTAAACGAGGTCGGGCTCCGCGGGCTAAGAGCAGCGCCGCCGGCGGGTCACCCTGGCCCGCGCCGTCCGCGGAGCGCCGGCGGTGGAAGTCCCCGCGGTTGTCCTAGAAGCGATGCTGGGAATGGCGGTGGCGGAACAAGCTCGCAAAAGGCAGAAGCTCTGGCGCCGTAGTTCCCAGGAAGCAGCGCCCTCGGGACGCAGTGCTGTGAGTTTTTTTTGCGTTGAGGGCCGTCGCGACCATGTCTGGGGTGGCCGTTGTGAGCGCCCTGGCAGAAAGCGCCGAGAGATCCTTGCCCGCCTTCGTGCCGATTGCGGACTGTAGTGCCCCCTGCGCGGCCGCCAGTTCATCCTCCCGCGGCGCCGCCAGCGCGCTCCCCCGAACAAAAACGGCGGGGGGTGCTGGGGACAGCTATTGGGCGCGCGCTGCCGCCAGGCTTGCGCGGCCGGGGCGAATCTGGAGAGTGCCAGGGCGTCGGCTGCGCCGGGGGGCAGGTCTCCCCTTGCAGGGCGGTCGCAGAGGTTGCAGAAGGCGGGCTTGGCGGCGGGCGCGTACATCGAAAGGGCCGCCGCGGACTGCAGCACGGCGCCCCTTCGGGCTCCTCCAGACTGTCTTCCGCAACTCTGAGTGCGAGAGAAGCGAAGCGCAGCGGCTGCCGGGTCGCCTCGCGCCAAGCGCCCGAGGGCGGGCGCGCCGCGGGGCGCCGGGGCAGGCTCTGCGGAACCGCCGCTGTCTATGATGTCGGCGGCGCCGGGCCCGGGCTGGCGAAGAGCGCCGCTGCGCGCGAGTGCTCCTCCGCCAAGGTCTTCCGAGTCATCTCGCCCACCAGGTGGGTTTCGGCCCCAGCGCGGCTTCCTCGGCCCCCCGTCTCGCCCGCGCCAGGCTGCGGCCCGCGGCGCGCGCCGCCCCCGGGAACCCCCTCCCCCGGCCCCACGTTGCAGCTGAGAGCGTCGTTGGCGTGTCAGCGCGGCCCGGACCGCGGGCTCGTTTCCAGGCAGGCGCCTGCCTCCCGCGCCACGGCGCATAAGGGCTGCGAGGAGGAACCGCTCTCTGAGGAGGATGAGCTTCCAAACTCTTTCCGCCTCCATGCTGCCCCGTGGTGCCTGGAGCGCAGCTCTGCGAAGGAAGTTCATGCTTTGTGCCGCCCCCGCCCTCGCGCCGCTTGGCGCGTGGCGGAGCGTCGGGCACTCCTCAGCCAGCTCGTCAAGCAGGTGGAAGAGTGTCACGTCCTGCCGAGCTGTCCGCCCCGAGGTCTTGGAATGGCTGCCTCGGCGGCGGCGCAGCCGGCTCTTGTCCGGGGTGCATGCGCCGCCCGCCGGCGCCGCCGTGGCCCCGGCAGGGGAAACGTCCGCTCCTGCCAGCGCGCGCGTGCAGCGGGCCCTGGCAGGCTGGGCAAGGCAGCGCCGCCCCGCCGCCTAGGGGTCCCGGGTGGTGCGCCTCCCCCGTTCGTGTGCCGGCCTAGCCGCGCTGCCAGGTCACCAGGCGCGCTGGCCCGCTGCTGGCGCCTTGCGCCTCCCAGCGCCTCTGCCGCCAGCGCGGTGTGGCCCTTGCTTCATCCCTCGTCTTCCATATCCCTCCCTCCATTCCTTGCCCTTGAAAATAACTTCTCTCTGTCGCACCCCGAGGCCAAGCTTAGGGCGGACCAAGCGTCCCGCCTGAGACTCCTTCACCACTTATGACCCTGAAGATAAACAGATGGCAGCGGTTTCACATATGGAGGGCGGGTGGCTTTCAACATGTGGCTGTCGCTTCAGCGCCGCGCACATTTGTTTTTTGTGTCCTTCTTCTTCTTCTTCTTCTTTTAAAGAAACGTATTACTATAGCTGTTCTCATCATTTTTTAAAGAAAAGCATTTGCAATAGTTTCCCAGATTGAGGGCGTCTCCTTTTCACAATGTGGCTCTGGCCTTCCTGAGCGCCGCGCACATCCGTCTTCCAAAATTGTAAGAGTTTCACGAATGAGGGCGCTCGCTTGTCACAATGTAATTCTCGCCTTAGCGCCGCGCGCATACTTTGTCACAAAATTGCTAGAGATTCACGGGTTGAGGGCGGGTGGTTTTCAAAATGTGGCTCTCGCCTTAACGCTGCGTGCGTTCGTTCTACAAATTTGCAAGAGCTTCACGGATTGAGGCCGGTTCCTTTTCAAAATGTGGCTCTCGCCTTAGTGCCGTGCGCATTCGTTTAGAAACTTACAAGAGTTTCGCGAATTACCATGATCAGCGTACCAACAGTGATGTTTTGAACAAGTTGAAGATTTTGCGGGTGCAACAGTTACGTTGATTCGCGGTGTTGAAGTCGCAGGAATGGCGTTCTGTCGCGATTCAAGCTCGTCAAGACGCAACTGTCAGGTTCATCCGTGGCGTTGGAGTCTCGAGAACAATGTTTTTGCATGCTTCAGAATCTTCACCGGTTGGCTTCCGATGAACCGTTGTAGGAGCCTGTGAAGAGGGGGCTTGGAGGGAGGGCTTATTGTAACATCGTTGATGACTCCTGGGTTTATTCTGGTCCTCCTCCTCCTCCCCCTCCTCTTCCTCCTCTTCCTTCTCCTCCTCCTCCTCCTCCTCCTCCTCCTCCTCCCCCCTTTCTTCTCCCCCCTCTTCCTCATGCTCTTCATGCTCCTCCTCCTCCTCCTCCTCCTCCCCCTCCCTCCTGACCACCCCTCCTCCCTCCTCCGCGCGAGCTCCCGCGCGCGCACTCCTCCATTCCTCTGTTCCTCCTCCTCCTCCTCCTCATCATCATCATCATCACCATCACAATCACCGTTACCATTACCACCACAATCATCATCAACAGAAGCAAAAGCAGCGTTGTCGTCGTGGTCAATGTCGGCGTCGTCGTTGTCATTGTCGTCGTCGCAGTCAGCGTCGTCACCGTTATCACCATCGTCATCGTCGTCCTTATCATCATCGCCATCATCGTCTTCATCACCATCACCATCACCATCACCATCGTCATCACCATCATCACCATCAGTAGCAACACCGTCGTCGTCGTCGTCGCTGCAGTTGTGGTCGTCCTCCTCGTCATTTTCGTCCCCGCCGTTGTCATCACCACCAGCATTGACATCATCATCGTCATCGCCATCATCGTCATCATCATACTCATCATCATCACTACTATCATCAGAACCATCATCATCGGCGTCATCATCATCATCATCATCGTCGTCGTCGTCGTCATCGCTATCACCACTACCATCACCACCACCACCATCTTCAACGCAATCACCGTCCTCATCGTCATCATTGTCGCCATCGCCAGCACATCCAACATAACCATTATGCACATACATGTCCACGCCATCACCATCAACATAAACATCATGGATATCATCAACTACATCGCCATGCTCGTCGTCGTCGGGGTCACCAGAATACAACTTTGCCTCCTCGGCGTCGTCGGCACCATCACCAATGACATCAAAACAAACACCATGACCCTGACCGTCATCGTCAGTATCCTTATATCACTCCCCATCGTCATCGTCACCGTCGTCATTATTGTTATCCACATCGTCATCCTCATCATCATCCCTATTGTCGTCGACATCACAATCATCATCATCATCACCATTATCCGCATCATCCGCATCGTCATCATCCGCATCACCAGTATCACCATCAGCGTCAGCACCATCAGCATCACCATCACCACCACCACCATCACCATCATCATCATCATCATCATCATCATCATCATCATCATCATCATCATCATCGTTAGCATCATGATCGGCCCCATCGTCTTCAGCGTCATCGTCATTACCAACATCACCCTGCCGATCCTGACCGTCGCCAACATCATCATACGAAACGTCGGCATATGTAACATCACTTAGACCATCATTGTCATCATCGTCATCGCTAGCCTGCTCATTCGCACAGTCCTCCCCGCCGTCCTCATCTTCCCAATCGTCGTCGTCATCGCAATGACCATCAGCATGAGCACCAACATCCCAGAATCAACAACGTAATCCACATAGCCACCATCGTCATCATCCTCATTATCATGCTCCTCACCCTCAACATCATCGTCATCGTCACCATCACCATCAACAACAACACTATCATCATCCCTACCGCCGCGGTCACCGCCATCGCCATCACCATCACCATCATCATAAACATCTTCGTAATGCTCGCCGCCATAGTCGCCATCATCCTCGCCATCCGCATCACCAGCACCATCCACATAGGCATCGCACTCTTCACCTTCCCCACCGTCCTCCAAATCATTGTTTGTATCGTCGTCACCATCGTGATCACACTTGTTAATATCAATGCCATTCCCCCTGTTCCCATCTTAACCGCCGCCACTGTCATCGCCACCGTCATCATCATAATCATCGCTATCAACGTCCACATCATCTCCTTCGGCCTCGACAGCATGATCATAAACAACATCACCATCATCGTTATCACCAATACCAGCACACTCGACATCATTATCACAAACATCGCCATCAACATCATCACCCACATTGTCGCATCACCATTATCACGAGAATCGGCGTCTGCAGAATCAACACCCTATGCCCTTCGATATAGTCATCGTAACCGTCATCCGCATCATCATCCTCATCGGTGTCATCATCTTCCCTATCGTCTTCGCCATCGTAATCATTATCAACGTCGGCATCCGCATCATCATCATACTCCACGTCATCATCGCCATACTCATCGTTAACATCGCCATCATCCACATCCTCATCGTCGCCGTCATCATCATCATCATCAGCATCATCATCATCATCCTCAACACCATCATTCGTATCCCTGTGGCCATCGCCATCGCATTTGTCGCCCTTATCGTGATGGCCGTCACCAATGCCTTGCGACGATCAACATCATCATCCACATCCTCATCGTAATCGTTATCATCCTCATCATGGTTTCCAACCTCATGCTCATCGTCGTCATCGACGTTATCGTTACTATAATGAACACCATCCGCACCATCACCATCATCATCACCATCGCTATGAACCATCACCATTACCATCACTACATCATCATTACCATCATCAATACCAATCGCACCAACATCATCACTATCGTCGTCATCGCCGTCATTGTCGTAATCGTTATGCTCAGAGTTCGCGCCGTCATCATCGTCGTCGCCCTCGCCATCATGAACAGCATCATCAGCAGCGCCACCATCAGATGAACATGAATCTCATCGTTATTGTCATCACCGTCATCCTCAACACCATCATCATCCTCAACATCACCACTGTTATCGTCATCATCGCCATTGTTGCCGTCGTCCTCCTTCAACTCCTCCTCGTCCTCGTCCTCCTCCTCCTCCTCCTCATCATTGTCGTCAGCATTCTTTCCGTCGGCATGGCTATCAGCATCGTCATCATCTTTCTCATCATCCCCCTCCTCCTCGTCCTCGTCCTCATCCTCATCCTCATCCGCAGCCTCATCATCGTCATCATCGTCGTCGTCATCATTGTCACTATGGTCAACAACAACGTTGCCATCATCATCGTCTTTGTCATCATGCTCATCATAATCCTCATCCTCATCATCGTCATGCTCGAAATTACCATCACCATCATGGCCAGACATACTGCAACACGTACTATCATCATTATTGTTTTATCGTATTGCTCCTCGTCTGCGTCACCAACGCTATCATCATCGTCATCATCGTCACCTTCGCGACCATCATCATCATAATTCGCGCCATAATTAGCCGAACCATCATGATCTGCATACTGGCCACCACCACCATCATCATGACCTTCATCACCACCACCACCATCATCATAATCGTCGTCGTCGTCATCATTCACCATCATCATCCATCATCATGATTGCCATCAGCCCCATCACCTCCTCACCATCCCCATCGCAACATCCTCCTCCACACCATCGCACATTTTCATGGTGGTCGGCATCCCCATCGTCATCAAGCATTGGCATCACCATAGTCAACATCACCAACAACATTTTCATCGTCGTCATCGCCATCATCCGCACCATCTTCTTCCTCATCTATACAATCGTTGTCACCGTCATCATCAGCAGCATTGGCATCTGAAGGATCTTCATCCTGACCCTAGGCATCCTCATCGTAATCGTGGTAATCGCCATCATCCACATCGACCTCCCACATCGTTCTCACCGTCACAAGAAATGGAGAAGGAGAAAGCCAGATTTTAGAGGATTCTGAGAGAGTCGGCGGAGAAAATGATGAGAGAGTCGGGGGAGAAGGTCGGAGGGAGCCGGAGACCGGAGTCCGTCGTAGTCCTGTCCTCTTGTCTTCCTCTCCTCTCCCTCCTCTCCTCTTCCCTCTCCTCCCTTGCTTTCCTCCTCTTCTCCTCCTCTGCTCCACTCCACTCCTCTTCTCCTCTTTTCTCTTCCTCTCCTCCCTTGCTCTCCTCCACTCCTTCTCTCCTCTCTCCTCTCCTCCTCTCCTCATCTTCTCTCCTCCTCTCCTCTCCTCTACTCTCCTTCTGCTCTCCTCCTCTGCTCTCCTTCGTTCCTCCTCTCATCTCCTCGTCTCTTCCTCAGCTCTCCTCCGCAATTCATCCCTTTCCTCCTCTCCTCTCTTCCCTCTCCTCTTCTCTGCTCCTCTCCTCCCTCTCCTCCCGTCTCTTTTTTCTCATCGTCTCCTCTCCTCTCCTCCTGTCCTCTGCTTCTCTCCTCCTGTGCTTCCTGTTCCTTGTGAAAGCCCCCTCCCTGAGGAACGCCAGAACCGCGGAATTTCGGGCTTCTGTAAGAGGGTCCCCATGATATCAGGACGGGGGACAGCACACAGACACACTGAATCGTCGACCCTTAGGAGAATACAATGCGGGAAATGGGGGGGGAAGACTAGAACAAAGAAAACATGGTGATTTGTGGAGAATCCTGGGCTTCGTGTGTCTGTATGTTTGTGTCCCCCGCTTTATACTAATATACAGACAAGATCTATGAGCTCAGGAGTTCCACGGTGTCGTCTTCTGGCTTCCCAGGTGTTTTGCTGCCTGGGCGCCCCCCCTCGCGGACCCGCAGCCCCGGCGTGGCCCCCGCGCGCGCCAGGGGAAGGGAGGGGCCTGGCCCGCCGCCCCAGGTTGAAGCCCGTGTCGGATGACATCTCGAACCTCCAGGGGAGTGGGGGGTGGGCGCGCGGGCGAAGCAGGAGGAGGAGGAG